TTAGATTTAACCAAAACTGGAGCAAAATATAATGTTAAAGTTAAACAATGTGAAAGGTTAAACATTTTTTAATACATTAAATTTGGTTGGTTTTTTTTTCTACAAAAAATAGATGCTGTATAACATGCCTTGGCAGCCCATAACCATCAGTGCTGCAAGTTAAAATCATTAAAGGGGGCCACTGAAAATTGTGGGCCGGATTTGGCCCATGAGCCTGAGTTTGATATGCCTACTCTAATGTAACTTATCAGTACAGCTAAGCTGTGAAAAGTGTAAGAGCGTGTGCAATAGTGCTTCGGTTTGGACATGCGCATGATAAATCAGCTTACGCCGATGTTATGGGTGCTAATAACTATTTCATGCACACAAACAAACCCTTGTTACATACACCGCTCTGTCGTTCTGTCCCCTCTGGGTTAATAATATAGATTTCACATCAGCGGTCTCCATTCCTCTTCACTGGTGAGCTACCAACATGGCAGAGAGCTAGTCCTTTAAGCATTTGTGGGAAAAATAGTCAATTGAATGATGAGAGCTATGAATAAATAAAATACCTGCTTTATTTTTAATAGAATATGACCATGTTAGTTTTCGTTACCAATATATAGGCAATACAATACATTTTGCCCAATTAGAATATCAGACAAACCAATTTCATCTACCAACACCCAACAAATATTCTAATACTGGCACGTCACGGAGCTAAACAGATCAAAGTTTGCAACAAAAGAATGTTTAAAAATCATTGGGTTGAAACCTTTTCTGTACAATACAATGCCCCTTCTAGTTAAACACAGATGCTATATCGCTAATGACAAATTTCAAATAAGGGAAGTGTGACTTTTATAGTGTCACTTCAAAAGCAAAAATAATGTAAGTGAAACTAAAACGCCATCAAATGAATACGAGCTGTGTGTCCTCTTTACAACGATTACGATTCGCCAATGATTTTAAATACTATTAATCCTGCAGCTCTCGAGTGTGAAACGCTACACCCTGATAGATTGGAGAGATAGTGCCTTTGTGTGTTTGTGACAGCTGTAAACTGGGCAAAACACTTTAACCGTATCACTTTGGCATCATTGTTCGCTTAAAGTGCAGACGACATTATGGCTGTGTGTGGGTGGATGGAACACTCGATGTGGGGAGATTACCGTTATTGCTTGGCGCTCGGGCAGGAAGTATGTCGGAGTGTGGTGACTGACAGAGCTTCTCCAGTCTTCCTGTGGCTGCTCTGTCCTTGACATCTGATTGGAGAACATACGCACTATACACTTGCGGTTTGGAAACATGCGGTGTCCAGTAACCTTTCAGACCTAGAAGAAATGCATGTAATATAACCTTGTAATGAAATGTAATAGGTGTACTTTTGTCATGGAGATTCTGCTACTTTATTGCTTCATCTACAGTATATGTTCCCCATACATACTAGCCTGGCAGGAGGTTCTGTTAGTCTTGTGAGGTCTAACAAAAAGGAGAGTGGTGAGGTTCTAGGACACTCAACATTCAAATACATTCTTTGATATATTATCTGTCAGGTCCATCTTGCTATTCAACCAGTTTTCTCTCAGAAAAGACATTCAGATTCCCTTAATGAAGAACCTTTTGAATTCTCCAAACCCTGTACAGAGGTTGTGTGTATTTACGTGTCTGTTGTGTGTCTTTCAGGAGCATGTTTGAGTGACACGACAAAGAGGAAGTGGGATCTCTGAAGCTCCGCCCACTCCACTGGTGGAGCGTCCTGTACATCTCAGCAGAGACCCCCACATCACGTCTGCAGGTATCACGCCTATATCCAATAAAAGAGCATATTTTCTTACAGCGGATCCATTTTCTTTCTAACTAAATGAAGCGTAAAGTGTCCCACCACTGAAGCAGCAAGTCCTGACCATGTCTCATCATGTGGAAGTGAAAATATTGTTGTGCAGCATGAATCATAAAAGTTGTTCCCTCTGGCGTCGCTGTGATGGAGGGCGTGTCTGTGGTTTGGACAGGCTCGTATGTGTTGTAATGTAATGGACTATTGCACATGCAGTACTTACAGTGAGTGTGGTTAGCTCAGTCTGTGCTGCGCTGTCAGGGCAGCTCTGCTGTGACAGTAATGTGTATTGATTTGGCTGAAAATGCATGGCTGATTGGTCTTTGAAGTGTTTAATTCCACTTTGCTACAGTGCTAACCTTTAAATTGATAATCAATTTTGTTTGGGACTTTTGCGCTGCCATCGGCACTTTGAGTCAGCAGTTTGTAAAACTAACCCAACACTGGCCACAATAATGGTAATAGCTTTTATCCACATCAGATTTGTGTGTATAAAACTAAATATTGAGTCTTTTTTTTTTTTTTTTTTTAAACACGACCTCACCTGCTAATCTTTAATGTTCCTTCTTCAGTTCATGTGTTCTTTTTAGTATTGCACACAATCGCCAGTGGAAGCTGCAGAGGACTCACATTGACAATCATTGACATTGTGCGTAATGTCAATGATTATCAATGGAGTAAAGATTTGAGCAATTCTTCTGATAACCTTGAAATACAAAAGATGTTTTTTTACCGACCAAAGTGCTGCTCTCACTGTCCTGTTACTACATGCCACATATCTCACACAGAGCTGCTGTTGGCACCAGGCTGCAATTTACAGTCTCCTCAGTGATCCAGCTTTAACCTCTCTGTCACCTGCACCCTGTAGCTACAAGCTTGCTAAATTAATTGTCCTGCTTTTGTATTTTATGCTAATATGATAAACATACTTGCTGCTAGCGTTTGTTACGCCTCGCTCCCTTCTGTTCTGCTCTTCAAGGTCATGACCTGGAAATGAATTCCTCTCGCACCAGCTGTTGCACGTTCATTTATCCACTTAGACGAATGCAGCTCCGGGCGAACATGGACGTTTTGTAATATCCAGGTCCATCCGCTCTTTAAATTCATTTATGCTATGTATGTTTGAGTCTGGAATACGCATGGAGGCTTTAGTTGTCCTCTGCATTAGTCATGCGGATCAGAACTTAGTATGACTCTTTCGCCTAAACAAGTTTTCAAAAGTGACAAAAACAAACTTGAAATAAATCTTTCACCTTGTTTCTTGACTCTTCATCCATCAAGCTTAATCTAAAATCTGCCACCACAATATCTCAATATTATTTTCTTCTGCTTGGGTCAGCTCTCTGAATTTCAATGCCCAACAACACCAATAGGGCATTTAAAGTGATAGTATGCAGTTTGTCAGAAAAAGAGAGAGAGGAACATGATTTGAAAAAAAAACCGACCCAAGCTCCCTCCCCCTCCTTTCTGATTGGTCTTGAAGCCGCGCCTACTTTCCCGTGCACGCGCCAGGTCAAAGGTGCGGAGGAGAGAGAGAAACCGTTGTCAATAATGGAGTTATCGGAGGTGAGGATGCATTTTTGTTTTGAAATTATTTTTCATGGAGATAACAAGTTTATGTAACTAACTTTGTACTAATACTCTAAACTGGCATGTCCTGTAAATATGTAGTGTTTTCAATCGATTTACATTGTTTATAGCTTGCAATGTTGTTATTACTCATTTGCTATGCTAACAGCTAGCGTAGGATTTACGTATTGTCCGGTCTTTTTAGTGTGTACACCTCTTTAGATGTGGGCCAGATTGTTTTCAATTATTTAAATTTTTGTCATCTTCAGAGCTCTTTTATGAGTGGATCATCTGGTGAGGAATATATTCCCCCTGCAGCATCATCATCAAGGAGAAGCGCTCCAAAACGAAAACGTGCTTCTACCTCTCAAGGTCGAGGAGGGGGTTGGGGGCAAGGCCCGAGTCATGCAGGAGTAGCTGCTGTAAACCTGAGTGACGAGGATTTAGCCCGTGCTCAGGAGCAAAGAACACAGAGGCTAATCGTCGAACATGATGTTGAATATATTCCTCCTGTAGCAACATCTTCACTAAGCAGTAGCGCCCCGAAAAGAAAACGGGCATCTACCTCTCAAGGCCGTGGAAGGGGTCGGGGGCAAGGCCCGAGGCATGCTGGATACGCTGCTGTAAACCTGTATGAGGATGATTTAGCCCGTGTTCAGGAGCTTATAACACAGAGGCGAAACTTTGAACGTGTAAGTCCCTTGAGAAGTCTAACCATATACATAATTTGCATTAAATCATTGCAACATGCTTTCTTTTTATACAGGCACTCATACAGAATCTGTCTCCGGAACAATGTAGGGACGTGCTGACAAAGGCGGTAGATGGAGACCCAGGTGTTCTTTTCGACATAATCACTAACAATGCACCTCCCGAAAGAAACACATCCACTGAAAATCCGCCACCTTGGTGCAGATGTGCACACTGCCGAGAGATGCCAACTGATGTCGAGAAAAAATGCTGCTTGCATCCTCCAGAACTATGCATATCAACTGTAGCACATGTAGAGACATATATAATCCAGAGAGGAGTCTTGCGCTTAGCCCGACGACTCTGGAATGAGTTTCGTGCAATGGTTGATGGATCTGACCCTGGAGAAGACAACCGTCAGTTTCGCCATGCTGCCTACCGGCAGTATGTTGCTTGGCAGCATGGAAGACTAGGTGCTGGACGGCGTGTGGTCATTCCAAGCTGTATGGTGTGGAGAATTAGAGACACATTTCCAGATCCTAACGGGAACTACACTGGGTTCATACCAAGACGATTATAGTTTACATTAGCACTTTTTGTTCACATTGTTGCATTGCTGTTTTCACATGTTCTTTTTGATTTGATAAATAAAAAATATTTCATTACAATACTGTGTAATTACAAAGCTCAACTGCAAATTGCCTGAAAATAACAAATATATACAATTGGTTACAGATATAATAAACGGTCAACCACTTTCCATGAAAAACTTTATTTACAAAAACACTATTTACACACAATATAAAAAAAAAAAGTTTAGATTTTATTTCTGAGGCAATCGTTGACCTGTAACAAAACCAGTATATGATATGGATAAAATGATGAATACAAATTCTACATTCAGCATTGTGAGAAGAATAAATTAGTCAATACCATCTCCTCGGGTGCGCTGGTGTTCTAGTAACTCCTGTGTTGTTGGGGCAGGGATAGTTGACAGCAAACCCAATCTCCTTGGGTCCATGGCTCTGTATTTTCTTTGACGTGGGAGTCCTTTTTGGCTGTTCACTCGTGCTGTAACGACCATTGTCTGGAGTTCCGGGATATATGCATAGTCCTTCTCAACTTTGATTGCATAAATCCTCCAGCACCTAGACTTTTTATTGAATACTTTTCTGTATCTAAAATAGAGACATAAAGATGGCACAAAAGTAAAATCATAGAAAAGCAATAAGCATGCATAGTTTATAAAGTGTGAACATACTGTATGGCTCCATCTGCATTCCTTTTAGCAGGTCTATGTACATGGTGATTGTAATCAAGGGCAGCAAGTTGCATTCTCATGTCCATGATGGGCGGGTCGTAACTAAATCTTTTGCTGGCATACATAAGAAGGTGGCTGTGGAATGCTTCCAGGCGTGCGGTTGATCTACAAATAAATTACAGTTTAATTTGATCTCTTCCGTATTTATATATATTGTAAAAACAATACCTGAACTTCAGATACTTTGGTACTTCTTTTAACCAACGTTCTTTCAGAATGATCTCACTTAGAACGTTGTGCGCCGTTGAACCTTTGACAAGCCACTCTTTCTCACGTTCACTTTCCAGTGGGTCATGTTGGCATGCATCTAGAGGCCACACATGTTCCCCAGTGACATGATGCAGCAAGCCCATCCACATGTTCTAACAAATGTTTGATATGTAATTCATGGTAAGTGCATTTGAATTGAACTTTCAAACATTACAAAATTGAGTTGCCAATCAATGGATGGCATTGCTGACTTGGCACCCATTATGCCGCTGTTGTTGTGATGGAATGCAATTTTATGCTATGTTATGTCATCACAAGCTTGATATTATAGTATTTGTATTTTGTAGATACTTACAAAAAACTCCTCATACGTGTTTGCTTTATTGCAGCAGAACCAGAAATGATTGCAAATATCTTTGTTCCACTGTAGTAATATGGAACATCCCTTTTGCTGGCCAGCCTACAAAGAAAAGGGTCACAAATTCAATGCTTGTACAATGTCAATGCACAACAATCTTTCACAAAGCTCACTATTTTACTTACTGCATGTATCTTTTTGCCCAAGTTTTTTGCTCCGTGCCACATATCGTATGTGTGTTCCACACCACTGTCTTTGAATATGCCATTTCCTGTGTGAGTATTACAAATTAAATAAATAATGTAATTGCTTTATATAGGAGTACCATTTCTAATGTCATACCATAAATATGATTTGACTTACGGAAAAGAGCAGAAATCTGTGTATGGGCATCGGTACAGACTTCTGTAAGGTTTACCTCTCCCTTCAGCTGATTGAAGCTCTTGATGAAAGCCTCTCTCTCCATTATAGTAGAAATCCTACCACATAGTCTTTTATCTTCAGTTTTGATGGACATAATTTTCTTCGTCTCATTGTCCATCAAGGTGTAAGTACAGTACTGGGCTGAAAATCCTGGGCTGTCCATTCTTCCATCGCCTGTGTCCATAATTAAAAAATAATGTAAATAAAAAGGTTCTCACCCAAGTAAACAAAAAAAAAAAAACTCAAGAAATTACCTAGAGCAACAACACTTCTGTCATGGACCTCAGCTATAACCGCTGACCGTTTCTCTTCCCAGAAGCTCTCAATGACATCATGACAGTATTCAGCTTGAATACGGTAGAACGTGGACTTTGCAACCATGCCCATATTCATGTACTTGAACAAAAGGGCTATTTTTGAATAGTTGTTGCCAGATAGGAGTATGTTGGTGGCCAGCATGAAGTCCCCACTCTGCATGCCAAATTTAAATTTGGGTTGAGAGTTCCACTCCCAAACAACATGATCATTTGGACAAATCTAAAGAAGGAAAAAGATAGTAATATACACAATTGCAAAAAGACAAAATGCATTACAGCACTGTAAGAAAAAAAAGGCATTCATACCCATTTTACAACCATAGCTGTTCCTCTGGTAGAAATGTCTGTCTGGTATGGTGCTGGGGCTCCACAATCTGACAAATCTTCCATTTTGGCTGTGCATAATGTAATAGGAATGAGCAGGAACTCTGCAAGTTGCTGCACACACTTGTGGTACACTATTGCAGCCTGCTGACCAACAATGTCTCCAGAAACAGCCACTTTACAATTGTCAGGTATGGACACTGGGTCATCGTGGGGTGCTTCAGGGAGGACAATATCATAAAGTGTATCCTCCTCACTTATGTCCTGGAGATTTTGAAGTTCTATTACTTCTCTCATAGTGGCCCCGGTCCTGTGAACAGTGTGACAAGTGTATTATGTACTCTGTTTTACATGTTCAGTTTACATACACATACAATGAAGTCAACCTTATGCGATATGGAGGTATGTATTCTTCATCATTGCTGTCCTCAGACTCTTCCATTTCAATTGTCCAGTCTTCTTCTGAAGACGAAACATCTTCAGTCTCTTGGCTTGGTGACCATGTTTGGTCATCGTCTGATTCAAGGCTGTATCACAAAAGTAACAACGACTTAGTATGTGATATGTGTAAACTTGCTTTTGTAAGCAAAAGCTCAAATCCTCACATGGAATTTTCTATTCTGTTGTACTCCTCCTCGTTGATCTCTACAGGAATACCACTTGATGGCAAACTAAACAAAACAAAGAACAACATTATTCTAATTTATATCCAAATTGACCATAGTGGCAATCATACGGCAACTAAAAAGTTTCACTTACTGTCCAGTTACAGAGATTGAGACTTCACCTTGCCCCAGGACCTCCACCCCCTCTTCAAATGCAAAATCTCTAAAGAAATAAAAAGAAAATGTTAGTTTTAGTTTTTTCTCTTGCCACTCAAACATTTTATTGTGGTTATGTGGTGTTTAGGTATCTATTTTCCCATGGTTAGTGAAAGGGATGCTTTGGTATTACACTGTATTTGCATTTGTAAGGTCAACACTCATGGCCCTTACTGATAGAGCACTCAAGTAGTGTATTGTTAACAGACATCCCCACCCCACCACTGGCTAATCTAATTTAAAAATATTCTCACCTCTCAGACAAGTCTCCGTGGATACTAGACAGTGCTGGAAAAGCAAATAGCTGTTTTTTGAAAGGTGTAGAGGTTGAAACTTGAGATCCGGTTTGGTAACTGGAAACACAAATATTATAATTACACCAATCGTAACTGCATTTAAATTCTCACATAAAAAGATATCATTTGACTCATATGTAAGGATGGCACAGAATCTGAACTAGCTTCCTGACTCATTCTTTGCTTACACCCTACAGAATATGAATGCCATGTCTATGAGATATGTCTATCTGACAAACAATAGTAAGCACCATAACGTGAAATACAGATAATTATAAACACATAGTTATAAACACTCACACAACTGACTCACTGAGCTAAAGTCACCAGCTGGTTATACAACTTTATAACTACTGTCGAGAACGAACCAGACAGGGACGGATCGTGGTGCGCCAAAGCTCTGGAAGTTTATTTAGGTTTCTCTCAATTTCCAGTGGTTTCAGTTGTTTCTTTCTTTCAGATAGAACAAAGCCAGTACACAGTTTATATAGTCATTGTTACGTCACACATCGAAAGTTATACGTGTCAAACCCAGAGACACCAGAGCATAATAGTCATAACATGAACACAGTCAAAGTCCTTGTAGAGTTGTCTTGCACTTGTCCTGCGTAGTCAAAATAGCCATCTAATCCTCACACTACAACAAATAGCAATAAACACGTTAATCTTTGGCTTTCCAAAAATGGAACTCGCGTGATCCAAAATTTGTACAGTTTTATGGCGCAACAAGTACAAGTAAAACTACTTCAACTAATACTACTACTGTGGATAGCCCTATCTGCAGGTTAGGTTGTGAAAAACATCTGCGTTGGCCAGTCACTGTATTGTACTGTTGAACATTGAATACCCACTGTATTCAATGTTTCACTTGTATACTAGCTTTAGGCTACAAGCTAACGCGAGACAAACAGCTCATACCGCTATTTAGACCGCGTAGTAACGCGGAGAATATGTAAAATACATTACAATGAGGCACCCACTAAATAACATATTCATTCGGGATGAACACTTGTGTCATGCATTTACCTGTCCAAGAGAAACTTTGCCAAGTCTTCGTCCGTTTTGAATGCCTTGAACTCACGAAGGTGTCTCCATCTGTTGAAAACGTCTCCGATATTGATTCTACTTCTGTCTCGCATTCGTTTTTCAGCTAATTTAGTAGCAGGACTTTTGAACTTTTTAAATTTCCTTTGAGAAGTAGAAGGGACACGTGAAATGGGTATCTTCTGCTCTTTAGCTAAGTGTTGATCCATGGCTGCGCACGGGACTTGCTTGTTTCAGAAGCTCAGCGAAAACAAACAACTGAGCATGCGCGCAGCTACGAGCACGAGCGCCGATGATTGACAGCCCTTGGCTTCACTTCATTGGTTCACTTCGACGGCATCGTGGATTCTGAGATATAGCTAAGAGAAGGGAAGGCGGGACTTACTTGTAATATTGGAAATTATAAAATGACTTATTTTATATCAACATATAAGGCCAGGAGGTCAATTTAACACAATTCTTAAAAAATGTAACTCATTCAGAGTTGCATACTATCACTTTAAATCATTTAAATAAGACATTCAACACCTGTGGATCATTATTAAAATGAACATAAGCACAACTGTCACTGATTGTGATGACACGTGATGTTTCTGTAAACTATCCTGCTCAAATCTGACAGTAAACTGTTTTTTTTAATTTGTTTTTTTGTCAAAATGCATGTCCAGCACTGACAAATCCTCTGTGTATTACACAATAAGAAAAACAAACAAGGGAATCAAGGGAAGTTTATTTGTAAAGCAGAGTTTATACACAAGGTAACTCATAGTGCTTAACAAAAGAAGAATATCTCACATTTTTAGGACGACTGTCCCAGATTTAAGCTGCCTAATGTCTATTCTCTAAGAACTGGAGAACTGGACTAATGTGATCGTATCGCCCACCCCATATTTTGACATATGGCAAATTTTGACATATCGTATATATCGATAGATATATATATGTTTATATATATTATATGTTTGTTTATATATAATATATATACCATATATATATATATATTATGTTATATATATATTATATATATATATATATATATATATATATATATATATATATATATATATATATTATATATATATATATATATATATATATATATATATATATATATATATATATATATATATATATATATATATATATATATATATATATATATATATATATATATATATATAATATTTTAACATATAACTCAGAGAATATACTTTAAAACAGCTCTGCTTGTGTACAAGTCTCTCCATGGCCTCGCACCAAAATATATTAGTGACATGTTAGTCCCATATGAACCAGCCCGGACTCTGAGGAGCACAGGGACTGGACTCCTGTTAGTGTCCAGAGTCAGAACTAAACATGGGGAGGCTGCTTTTCAGATTCATGCTGCTAAAATCTGGAACAATCTTCCTGAAGATGTGAGACAGGCCTCCTCAATGACAATGTTTAAAACCAGGTTAAAGACGGTTCTGTTTAGCTGTGCATACAACTGAGGGATTTTATATTTTTATCTTCCTTTTTAATGTTCTGTGATTATTTATGATTTTAATGCTTCTTGTTTTGTTCAGCACTTTGAGTTGCCTTGTGTATGAATTGTGCTATACAAATAAACTTGCCTTGCCTTATTTATATATGTTTATATTTCACTTTGGCGGCTTTGCTTGTCTGCCTTCTCTGTGCAGCGCTCGCCTGCTCACCCCCGCCTCCTTGCGTTTTCTCCAGTGGGGGCGGGTCCCGGCTCAAAAGTGGCCAAAATTACGTGCGCTGACATACTTGCAATTCCACCCCAGGGCGATGGGGGTGGACCCGGAATAAGAATTAGCCAATGCTAACATATAGCATCTTCTTACCTCTGGAAAACGTCTTTACAGGATTTCTTGGCCCAAAGCTCCGTTCCACATGTGTGTCAATGTAGCCTGGTCGTACCACACCATAGTACAAATGACATTTCGTACTAAGGTCTGGAGGTGCTCCATTGAGCTCCGTTTACAGGTGGGAGGGGTTAACTCCTTTTGCACTTTACCGTGACGTATGCAGTGCGCCCGAGTCTGTTGTTAGCATTTAGCCTAGCCATCTCCTTTGCCGCTAACGGAGCCCGTGGGGAGTAGCGCCACAATTTTTTCCAGCGATTACATTTGCTAAACATTACTCTTGCTCCGGCTTCAATTTCTTGATAGAACCAGACCGGATTACTTTACTATCGCATTTTTCGCCATTGCCAAACTACAACCTGCCTGTTCGACGCATCACCCACAACTAATTACAACACCCGCCTTCCGCGCTCTCTGAATGGTCGTTCGAAATTCAACCGATTGTAATCGCTAACACAGGGACTAGACCCAGACGTTACATGCAGTGAAATGATGACTGAGCGGAGTGTACGGATGGCTAAGGCCAGGCTAGTGTCAGTGCTGAGGGGAGTGAATTTTTATGGACCACTCTGGTTTACTCGCTGTGAATTTTTGAAGTCACTCGTTTAAATGAATGGAGCTCGTTCGTGCTGACGCATGCGCAGATGCATTTTTTCACATTTTCCAGCCCCCGTGGCCATTTTGAATCACTCCATGAGAGCCCAATTTTTGGCCCATTAGTTAGAACTGAGCTTGCTCAGCTAGGAGGATAAACTCATGCTCAGAGGCCGCAAACTTGTCTAAAACATTCGGAGAATATGTAGCTAAAAACAAAACACAGATTACAGATACCTGGTCGAGGCATTACTTTGGGACTGTACACTGTGGAGAGAGCGGTTGAATTGGAACAGGTCACTTACCGTTTGTGCAATTAGGGATTTTAGTTTTATCTTAAATGTTGCAGAAGCACCTTGTTCCGCACTGCCATGGGTTAAGTTTCATATTTGAATGAAAAGAAGACAATATGTATAATTTCTTAATTTATTTCACAGTTACATTATCATTTTTGTTGGAAATTAAAACTAATGTGACAGAAGCTCTGTCTTGTTCCTTCTTGAACTGACTCCTCTTTGAGATTCAATAAAAGATAAATTGGAACATTTGTTTTTGCAGTAGTTTTGGGGGGGTTATTTATCCTGTAAAAACAATCGAGATAATTATTGTAAATCAAGATTAAAAAACTGATATTGAGTTATATTTTGTTCCCCATATCGCCCAGCCCTAATCGTACTTCCTGGTTCTAGTCAGGACTCAAGCTGCAGCTTTTGTTTCAGCAGTCTAACTTACTGAAAGGTGAATCCTATGAATCATGATGAAAACAATTGTGAAAGGAAAATGGGGAAAAAAGCTGCAAAAAGTTTACTTTACCTTTTACGTCCCCTTGAATCTTGGTTCTAAAATGATCTCACAATGATCACTTTTTGTGTTAGTTCTAACCCAAGTTATTTAAACAGCCGTTTTAATGTGACTCCACATTAAAACAGCTGTTTGGTGATTTTCTTTTCTTTTACTCAATGAAGAAATCCACTCTTCAGTAACTGCTTAATGAGGTGTCACTGAAAACAGAAGTGTGCAGTGCCGTAAATCTGTCAGTTTTCCCCTGCTCCAGACTAGAGATGCACCGATCCAGCTTTTTTACTAACGATACCGATATCAGAGCTATGGGTTTCTGCCAATACCGATATTGACCGATACCGGAAATGATCATGCTAAAATGTACTTAATAATTGAACTCTTTGTTCAAGTAACTGCAAAAGCAGTGGATGAACTAAAGCGCTAAACTTTCCAGATAAAAATGGATTCAACATAAATGTGCAATACTGCAACTATAAAGAGCTGCTCAATGTTCACATTAAACATTCCAACACTGTATTATACCTTATACATTTATTGAATATACGGGTGCGTACCGATGTTCCCCGGGTCCGATGTTCCCCGGGTCCGATGTTCCCCCACTTCTATAGGCGGGGGAACATCGGACCCGGGGAACATCGGTACTTCGCGTATTAAAAAGTCCCGATGTTCCCCCGCCAATAGAAGTGGGGGAACATCGGGACTTCAACAACGAGACTAGTCCCGCTGTTCCCCGCGTGCGCCCTTTGATGTTTGATGTTTCCTCCTCCACGAAAGATGGCATATGATCCGCGCCAACTTTTGTGAGAGAAAAAATACTAACTAGCCTAAGCCTATTTACTTTTCTTTTTCCCTCTCGCTCTTTGTGTGCTCATATTTCAGCTGATCGCAGCTTGAGTCTATGCAGGATATTTTTGGGCATGTTATGGGCATGTTATCTCCCCTTGCTCACTCTCCCATGGGCATCTATATTTGACAAGTCTGACTGAATAAAATGAGGACGATTGAAACTAGAGCTACTACATCCGTTAGCCTATAGTTTTTCCAAATACGTGGTTTTGCTGAGGGCACTGTGCTTTTACGCATAATGGACACGCATATGACGTCGTTTTTGTTGTAAAACTTGAATATGCTCTTTTAGTTTTAGAGATATTAATACATATTATTCTATTCAGAATGCGTGCGTCATTGTGCATTGTTGTCCCGCCTTACGTGTCACTCACAGTTAAAATGTAAATAACCAATTCAAACATAGCATTTTTACAACTTGAACTTTAAGAAAAAAATGATCAAAGGAATCAGTGTAAAATAAGATCGGAAAAGCTCAATTCATGATTGTTTAATTAGGTTTCCCATTTTTAAATACAATTGGAAACGCTCAGAATTCAAAAATATTGAAAAGTGTATTGGCTCCTACAGTACAGTGGGGGGAATAATAATAATAATTATAATAATAATATAACCCCCTGAGCGTCATCACGTTCCTACGTTGCTTCAATAGTCCTGTTTATTGGCTGAACAATTTTGTCCAATATCATATCACACAGCGTGAAGCGAGAACAACCAGCTATTCCTCGTCTTAAAGATTGACAATGCTCTCAAAGCATTCACAACAGAGCAGCCTTTTTCATTTTAATTTTAAGAAAGTTCAGCGTGAACTTTGTGAGGTAGAGGAGCCAGAGGCCCGGGCCCGTAGGTCCCAGAGGAGGAGAGCGCGGTCAGGCCTGGCTCGCCTTGCACTGATGAGGTAAACTCTAGGCCTGTGTGAGACACACTGTGGGCCTCACTGTAGGCCTCACTGTGGGCCTCACTTTGGGCCTCACTGTGGGCCTCAT